GCTGCAGGGACCCATGTAGAGAGACAGGGTTAGCTGGTGCTGAAGGCCCATCCTAGAAGGGCACAGACCTGCCCCTGTGGACTGTTGGTCCTTGGGGCCCGGCCCACTAAAGGGGTCACTCCAGGAGACTGGTTGCAGGCTGAGGCAATAAAAGCTCAATAAATGTATGTAAGAACAATTATGCAACTGTCTGTAAACTGAAAACACACAAGGCTTGTACCAAGATTTTTGCTGCACGATTGTCAGGCAGTATCAGTTGAAAGAGTACCTCTATGACCTTCAAACATTTCCGTGTCTAGAAAGAAATGAGACAGTCTAAGAACAACTGTCAGTTCCAAATCAACATCTAGGTCAGTGGTTCTCCGGGTGAAAAACGCAACAAAATAGTTACTGATAAAAAGTTCTGCCTCTATCATTCATCATAGAAATTCTAGTCCTTGGAGCGTTATTTGAATGAAACAGCTTATTCATATGGCACTGAACATACACTGCCCAGTCAAAGTTTGCTCTGGAAACTGTATTGGTGACCCAAAGACAATGACTCCTAAACACAGGGGTGAGTACAATGGCATATGTCACATTGGACTCTTACCCCAAAGTTTTCCTGACAGAAAAAAGGTAATGATGTCTTAACATACTCAGGAGTGCCTTCGTAAGGATGGCTAACGGACCCAGACCAAGGAGAAAGAAACCACCCATCAGAGAGCTTCCACATATGCGTGTGCTGGGCTCCTGTATTCCTTGCTGGATCAAGCCATACAGTGTTGTATGGAATTCTGTCAGACTGTTCATTAAACTGCACTTCTGCCCTTGCCTCTGCTGTGAAGTTCCAAAACCTTTACAATGCTGAAAGATGTGGATTTGTGTTCATTATGAACTAAAAACCCCATCAAGGTCTCAGAGCATTGAGGGCATGCAGCTGAAAAGTAGTTCAGTTGCTTGGCCACTCCCATAGGTCAGCTTAATTACAGTGTTCATGGGTGTGAATTTTTCAACTCCCTGAGTAATGTAGATGCTGTTTAAGTTGGCACTTCATAGAAATGTCCCTGTTCCAGGGCCGAGTGGATGAGCCCACTTCAAAGAAGATGAATTTCCTTGGAGGTGCTGGAGCTGACATCAGTGAGCTAGATCTTTGGGAAAAGTGCAATGGTCCCAGAATATTAGTGGTCTACAGCAGGGGTCGTCAACCTTTCAGAAGTGGTGTGCCGAGTCTTCATTTATTCACTCTAATTTAAGATTTTGCGTGCCAGTAATACATTTTAACATTTTTAGAGGGTCTCTTTCTGTAAGTCTATAATATATAACTAAACTATTGTTGTATGTAAAGTAAATAAGGTTTTTAAAATGTTTAAGAAGCTTCATTTAAAATTAAATTAAAATGCAGAGCCCCCCGGACCAGTGGCCAGGACCCAGGCACTGAGAGTGCCACTGGTTGCCTACCCCTGGTCTACAGTGCTAAGGCATCTGGTGTTGGAAAAGGTGTTTGTCCCTGAGTGCCTAAAGAAAAATCTTCACCCAGGGTACAGTAGCCACAAAATCTGGCATGTAGGAAGCCTCAGAACAGGCAACATAGAGCTGCTGAATTCTAGCTGGCAGATAGCTCCTGAGCTCTGTCTGGTTTAGGTCCTGTAAGCAGGACCATCTACACTACTCCCCACCAAAAAGTTCCCTGGAACAGACTGGCCTAGTGTTGAAGAAGCAGGGCTAACTACTTTAAAAGGTACAAAGGGGCACCAAACCCCTGTATCCACAAAGCCCAGCCCTGACCTGCCAAATTCACCAGTGAACTGTGCTCCCAAGGCACTGTTTGAATGCAGATTTGTAAACCATATAAATCTATATTATTTCATTCTGCCTTCGAAGACAGCAACTCTAAAGTATAGAAATGGGGTTATTCCAAGAAACATGTTAGGCTTGCAGCCTCTGCATTGTCCTAGACAAAGTCTCACAGTGTAACCAAAACAAGGCATTGATGTTGAGCAGAATAGTTCCGCCCCCACATTAGTCATCAGTTGGTTTGTCAAGGCATGCCTCCAAAGCCCCTCCATGGTCATGTGTTTTAGTATTGATAAGCCCCACAGAAGACAGAGATCAGAAGAAGATATGTGGAAGTGTCTAAAATAAGACTTAGGAAGCACCAGAACAGCACTGGGGGGGGGAAAAAATCTGGCGTGCAGCTTATGTGTGGCACTCTTTTCAATAAGAACCCAGCTAAGAAAGTTGGCATAGAACTTAAAGAAGGGACTTGTGCATAATGGCCAGCACCTCACAGGACAAATCTAAGAGCCAAGAAAGTTCTGACTTTTCTTGCACTAAGAAGTTGATGCCCAAGAGTGGGAATTCTGTGTGTATATTATGCAAAAAGGATCAAGGTCAACGAAGCTCACACTGATTTACCACCTAGTAACATATCTTACATTAATTATAAGTCGTTCTACTATGAAGAGGAATATTATTTGAAGCAGAATTTTGGGAATGCATGATAACCTCTCTCAGGCAGTGCAATACCTGTGGGACTATTCAGATTCTCATTTGGGTTTTTCTCCTTCAGCAGCTTCAAAGAATCCTGATATTTTTGGGTGGATTTATCCCTCCCAAGGATACTTAAATCATAAGCATCAAGTAAAATGAACCGAAATTTTGGAACTGGGCTAAAATGATAAGCATAGTAATGTTCTTCAGCAGTGGCTCCAGGAGAGTCCTGGCCACTGGCAGCAGAGCCAAGGAAGATCTGGTCTTCTAAAGACTTGCTGTTAAGTTCAGATTGTGTTAAATAGTCTCTAGTAAAGTTGTACAATTCATGATTTCCCCATGTGTGATGGATTGGGATTCTAAGCTTTTTAAACTTGTTCATAACTCTTCTCAGAGCACTTTCTGATGTTTTATGTTGGGCATTAAAACCATCAATAATATCCCCAAGCTGCAGCACAAACTCAAGTTGACTGTCTTCCTTATTCCACTCATCAACTGCGCTCTGGAGAAGGTGAAGGCTGTGTCTGTAGTATCTCCTCCGGGACCCCCAGAAGTTATAACCATCCTCTAGATCAGCATACTGAATATCTGCTATGACTCCAAAGGAAAAGCACAGCTCAGAATTCCCTGTCAAGGATCCACGTCTCCAGGTAGGAGTTTCATCCATAACTGTCAACCAGGCTCCCAAAATCTAATTCAGGAAAAAAGAGAGAAGAAAGACTCAGTTCAAACAAAGCTGGGTGACTTTAAAAAAAAAAAAAATCAGCTGCAACACCCAGAAGAAACAGAGAAATCTCTCCAAATTCATTTTTATACAGCTAGAGACCTGCAGAACTCTTTGGCATGAGTTGTCACTTCAGAAAAAAGCAGAAGCACTAGGAGCCTGCCACTCTTGAAAAAGGCAAAGGGGGCAGGGGGTTGCACGTTTGTACAGTAATAGTCATGTAATATTCCTTCAATATGTGACATTCCCAGATTAAAAACTATGTTAAACTAGAGTTTGAGTTGAGAGTACATATCAGTAATTTAAGGGTAAAAACATTGTAAGGATGATGTAATTATCCCCAAAATAAGCACTACCAACCCAAGAAATTCAGAGTTAAGGTTGAGCTTAAAAAATAAACCCTGCTTATTAAGAGTGTGGTCCTGGATTAGTTTAAACTGATTTTAAAAGACGTTTAGTCCTCATGGCTGACGAGAAAAGCTTGAAGCTGGAAATCCCAAAGGCTCGAAAACCAGAAGGCAAAAATAATCCAACTTTTATTTTTAAAAATATCATGATTTTTAAGCCAATTTCATGATTTTCTGAGGGCCAATTCATCATTTTTGAACACACAAGTTTCCCAGTACTGTGCTCAGACCTTCTATAAACCAGGGCTGCAGCAGTTGAAGCTAGACATCTAGAAAGGTGCATCATGCAGCCTGAGACCAGCCGTGGAGGGTTTAGTTTGACTGGTTGAGCGGGCTTCTGGCAGAGGCAGGTATGGAGCCCAGTTCTCCAAGACAGTTCTGGAACCACAGTTCCAGCCTCATCCTCCACAGGCTGTACATCGGCTTGGTGCCAGGTATTGCATGGGGCAGGGACAATCTCTAGGAAAGAGCATGGCCTGATGAGAGGTGTGGGTGGTCATCTGGTCTGGACCAAAAAGGAGAGTCTGGGGTTGTCACGGTAACACAAGTCACCATGTTATGATGTCACTTCCACAATCTCTGGCATGATATCATCATATGGAACAGCGACATCACCCTTCAACTGATATTGTTTCTGGTTCTAACCCATTTCCTGAGGAGAAATGTTTTGCCAGGTGCAAGGTTTTCAACTGGAAAGTCCGGCCAAAAAGGGAACCTGACAGCGTCCAGTCAGATGTACTGACTGGACACCAAAAGTCCAGTTACTGCAGGGAGAGGGGAGGTGCCCGGTCATTCACCCCAGCTCTTCCCAGCTGGGGCCACCTCCTACCTGCGGGCAGCTCCTTGTCAGACTGCAGCAGCTCCCCTTCCAGCCCCAGAGCGGAGGGAGCCCAGCTGCGGCATGGAGGGAGGTAGAGACAATCCGGTGCGTGAGGGGGCCCTTAGAGGAAGAGGCAGGAGACGGGCAGGACCTCAGGGGACAGGTTACGAGCCATTAGAGAGGCGACAACCCTCGCCCGGACCCCATTCCTACTTTGGATATCCCCCACCACCGAGCAAGTCCGCAAACTACGAACCTGGCTCCATCCACGCTTGGCCGTTGTCTAGGGTTGCCAGCCCACCATGATTGTCCTGGAGTCGCCAGGAACTAAAGATTAATCTGTAATTGAAGGCTGTCATGTGATGAAAGCTCCAGGAATTGGCAACCCTACAGCCGGTCACCGCTCCCACCTGACGCCCCACGGCCGGGCTGCTGCTTGTGCGCCCGCTGACGGAAACTGAAGGACGCCGGGAACTACGCGGAGAGCGGCGTTAGTTGAGGTAACCCCAGAAGTTGCGCGGGGGAGGGCGGGGTTAGTTGGCGGTGACGCCGGAAGCTGCGCGGAGGGCGGGGTTAGTTGGCGGTGACGCCGGAAGCTGCGGGGGGTTAGTTGGCGGTGACGCCGGTTGCAGGATGGCGGCGGCCCGGCGGGTCTCCCTCGTTTGGGCGCTGGGATTCCACGTTCCGGGACATAGAGGCGGGTGGAGGCGACCGGTGAGGGGAACTTCCGGTCCGGGGAGCCGCGTCCCCTGGGGCCTGGCGGGGTCCTGCTTCCTGCACTGAGCAGCCTGACCCGGCTCGACATTGCCTAGGGGCAGGTCCAGGGCCCAGCCATGTCACAACTGCTCCGCGCCCCGGCGCCCGCCCACTTCCCGGTTCACCAATACGGCCGGGCCCGTCCCGTGCCTGCGCCCCCTCCCTTCCCGGCCGGGCCCGACTCCCGCCTGCGCGCCCCCAGACCCCGAGCAGCCTCGCGCCTTAACCGCCTGGTCATCTCATCTCTCTCTCTGTAGCTGCTCGCTGTCAGCCTTGCTCGCCGCTCATCATGCTGGGATCTCCCGGGTTCCTTGGCGGTGACTCGCCACCTGGCTACTGCACCTCAGGGAGACAAAGCGAAGACGGGCCCCTCGAAGCCCGGGGTAAGGAGGCCACGTTCCCAATGGCGGCCATAGCCATGTCCTTAATCTAAACAAAGAGGGGTTGCGGGCTAAGGCCTGAAACTCCCTCATGTTCCTTGTGTGTAGCAAGAGTTGCCCTGCTCTCCTGGTCAAGGGGGAAGCCAGGGTGGGGAGGGTTCCTCTGTGGCAGCCATAGCCGGAATTTCTCCCCTGTGTTGATAGTCTCTGTGCAGTGGTTGTATTTACAAAACTACCTGGGTTTGGTTTTTGTGGATCGGTTCTTCAAACAGAATTGTGGTTGATCTTAGATACAGGTATTCTGTCATATCGCAAGAGCTGAGTTTTATTTCATAAATACATACTTAGTACTTTCCTATGTTTTACAAAAAAATAGTTGAAGATGGTGAAGTTTAATTTTTATGGAATCTCTCTCCTAGTAGCCAGTTTCCTGGAAGTCCTTGGCACTCACATTTGCGATTGGTGGAGCTTTATTGGCAGGGATGAAATACTTCAAGAAAAAAAAGGATGAAAGTATGTATATGTTACATCATCACCCCAAAACCTTTGTAATTCTCCCTCCAAGCCTTTATAGCTGTGCAGATAAAAAGATCTTGTGGCCATGTTAGCTGTGGTACTGCTATTCTGAAGGGTGACAACTAGGAGAGATTGATATGCTGATTTTAGCAGACTGCCTATCAGTGTGCTAGACACCTCACAAAGACACAGGATGATAGCTCCCTGTCCAAAAGAGATTCTGGTCTAAATATACATGGAATGAGATGGAGCACAAGACTTTTGGCACATTGTCTTTTTTCTGTTCTGGCCTATTTTACCCACTTAGTTTTATTTTCCATTTGCTCTTTGATTGTCAGTTTGTATTTTTACCCTGTGTGTGCATATATACATATTTTATACCATTATCTGTTTTCAGTTTATCCAGTATTTTACTTTTCCTACATTTGTTTTGATTTCTTTTTGCTCTTTTAAAGTCCTCTTTTAAAACTTCTAGTTTAAGTTGTTATATTGCACCTATTATTGTGGTATGTAAGCATTACACAAGATTAGAGTATAAAAGCCCAGAATCATAGAATATCAGGCTTGGAAGGGACCTCAGGAGGTCATCTAGCCCAACCCCCTGCTCAAAGCAGGACCACTCCCCAACTAAATCATCCCAGCCAGGGCTTTGTCAAACCTGACCTTAGAGGTTTTTAAGGAAGGAGATTCCACCACCTCCCTAGGTAACCCATTCCAGTGCTTCACCACCCTCCTAGTGAAAAAGTTTTTTCCTAATATCCAACCTAAATCTCCCCCACTGCAACTTGAGACCGTTACTCCTTGTTCTGTTATCTGATACCACTGAGAACAGTCTAGATCCATCCTCTTTGGACTCCCCTTTCAGGTAATTGAAAGCAGCTATCAAATCCCCCCTCATTCTTCTCTTCTGCAGACTAAACAATCCCAGTTCCCTCAGCCTCTCCTCATAAGTCATGTGCTCCAGCCCCCTAATAATTTTTGTTGCCCTCCGCTGGACTCCTTCCAATTTTTCCACATCCTTCTTGTAGTGTGGACACAGTACTCCAGATGAGGCCTCACCAATGTCAAATAGAGGGGAATGGTCATGTCCCTCGATTTGCTGCCAATGCCCCTACTTATACAGCCCAAAATGCCGTTAGCCTTCTTGGCAACTAGGGCACACTGTTGACTCATATCCAGCTTCTCGTCCACTATAACCCCTAGGTCCTTTTCTGCAGAACTGCTTCCTAGTCATTAGGTCCCTAGACTGTAACAGTGAATGGGATTTTTCCGTCCTAAGTGCAGGACTCTGCACTTGTCCTTATTGACCCTCATCAGGTTTCTTTTGGCCCAATCCTCTAATTTGTCTAGGTCCCTCTGTATCCTATGCCTACCCTCTAGCGTATCCACCACTGCTCCCAGTTTAGTGTCATCTGCAAACTTGCTGAGAGTGCAGTCCATGCCATCTTCCAGATCATTAATGAAGATATTGAACAAAACCGTCCCCAGGACCGACCCTTGGGGCACTCCGCTTGATACCGGCTGCCAACTAGACATGGAGCCATTGATCACTACCCGTTGAGCCCGACCATCTAGCCAGTTTTCTATCCATCTTATAGTCTATTCATCCAGCCCATACTTCTTTAACTTGGCGGCAAGAATACTGTGGGAGACCATATCAAAAGCTTTGCTAAAGTCAAGAAATAACACATCCACTGCTTTCCCCTCATCCACAGACCCAGTTATCTCCTCATAGAAGACAATTAGGTTAGTCAGGCATGACTTGTCCTTGGTGAATCCATGCTGACTGTTCCTGGTCACTTTCCTCTCCTCTAAGTGCTTCAGAATTGATTCCTTGAGAACCTGCTCCATGATTTTTCTAGGGACTGATGTGAGGCTGACTGGCCTGTAGTTCCCCGGATCCTCCTCCTTCCCTTTTTTAAAGATGGGGACTACATTTTCCTTTCCAGTCATCCGGGACCTCACCTGATCACCCTGAGTTTGCAGAGCCATTGGCTATTATCTTTGAAATCACATCCGCCAACTCCTTTAGCACCCTCGGATGCAGCGCATCCGGAACCATGGACTTGTGCTCGTCCAGTTTTTCTAAATAGTCCCGAACCACTTTCTTCACAGAGGGCTGATCACCTCCTCCCCATACTGTGCCACCCAGTGCAGCAGTCTGGGAGCTGACCTTGTTTGTGAAGACAGAGACAAAAAAAGCATTGAGTACATTAGCTCTTTCCACATCCCCTGTCATTAGATTGCCTCCCTCATTCAGTAAGGGGCCCACACTTTCCTTGACTGACTTCTTGTTGCTAACATACCTGAAGAAACCTTTCTTGTTACTCTTAACATCTCTTGCTAGCTGCTACTGCAAGTGTGATTTGGCCTTCCTGATTTCACTCCTGCATGCCTGAGCAATATTTTTATACTCCGCCCTGGTCATTTGTCCAATCTTCCACTTCTTATAAGCTTCTTTTTGCGTTTAAGATCAGCAAGGATTTCACTGTTAAGCCAAGCTGGTCGCCTGCCATATTTACTGTTCTTTTTACACATCGGAATGTTTTTTCCCTGCAACCTCAATAAGGATTCTTTAAAATACAGCCAGCTCTCCTGGACTCCTTTCCCCCTCATGTTGTTCTCCCAGGGGATCCTGCCCATCAGTTCCCTGAGGGAGTCAAAGTCTGCTTTTCTGAAGTCCATGGTCCGTATTCTGCGGCTCTCCTTTCTTCCTTGTGTCAGAATCCTGAACTCAACCATCTCATGGTCACTGCCTCCCAGGTTGCCCTCCACTTTTGTTTCCCCTACTAATTCTTCCCGGTTTGTGAGCAGCAGGTCTAGAAGAGCTCTGCCCCTAGTTGGTTCTTCCAGCACTTGCACCAGGAAATTGTCCCCTACACTTTCCAAAAACTTCCTGGATGAAAGTGTGTGTATGTCTGTTTCGCCAGGTTATGTGGAAGTATGTGTAAGACTTTTTAAGAGCTTAGATTCCCAATTCTGGTTTTAACCCCTGTATGCTTTTTTTAACCACATACTGTTTAATGCTCTCTTTATAGTGAACACTTACCTAATTCTTGTCTTGATACTGAAACTCAGTTAGACCATGGCAGCACAGCAGTTTCCCTTCCTCCCTTAAGTCTCTAAAAGATGCCTGAATCTTAACTGCAGGCATCCCATCTCAATTCATGTTTCCTGACTTCAGCATATGAGCTTCAGTGCCATCTTGATGATAAGCTCCTTTTGGAGCACAGTAGGATATCGTTTATATGGAAAATATCACAATGTAAAACTGTTCTGTTTACTGTAAAGTTGTCTTGTCCATGTTGGGCTTATATTTTGCAGTGGGCTTTGAAATTCAAGGTGTTACATTACTGTTGTCCTACTAGACCTATTTGCCTTTGAGAGCCTTATGACTCAAACTGTCTTTGGTTTCTGGGATCTTTTGTCCTCTCCTGTGTGACACAGCTGGTAGTAACCTCCCATTGCTGTCTGGTTTCAGTGCTGGAGAAGGAGCAGAAGCGGGCTCTTGGGAAGCCATTGCTGGGAGGCCCTTTCTCACTTGTGGATCACCAGGGACAGCCCAAGACCAACAAGGACTTCCTGGGCCAGTGGGTGTTAATCTACTTCGGCTTCACGCACTGCCCTGATATCTGTCCAGAGGAACTGGAGAAAATGATTCTAGCGGTGGATGAAATTGGTAAATGAATCCAGTCAGAATCCTAACTCTACTTAAAATAGGCTGTACTTCATGTAGTGAAATACTACAGTGCTTCTCCCAGCTTACTAAATGGCAATGGGACCAGCTCCTTGATGTATGTGAAAATTTCAGCCTTTTTAGGCTGTGTCTCTGCATTGCTTCACATTAGATGCAAAGTTATAGAAAACAAGGTCAAACTGGGCCTCATGCTTTGATCTTGGGAGAAGCCTCATATAAGGCATGCTCTGAGTCAGTGTTGGGTTCCTATAGTTTTTTGTACTTGGCACTACCCTTTGGGATGTGGTATTGTCCTGCTAGAAGAGGGTTTTCTTGGTTAATGAAATACAGTAGTGACTGCTAACCAAGAGCAGCTTCTTGATTAAAGAAAGGCTGGATCTAATCTGGAGAACAGATCTCTCTCAAGATAGAGCTTTGTCCACATTAGAAAAATCTTCCCATTCATCCCTATCATTCTGTTGAAAAACACCTTATATCCACGTGCAAAAATGCCGGGGAAGCAGCAATCAGTGTAACTTACCCCAACATCTTATGGGGCAATATCCGGGAGCCCCTGAATTGGCTGTACACATGCCTGTATGGTGCTGCAGCCCCCATTGTTCGGGTGAGGTGGCCCCTATAGAACTCTCATGACTCTCACAAATATTCCTGTTACAATTTTACCAATAACATTCATTTAAGAGGAGGTACTGTCAATAGGTGAAAGGTCCTGTGGCAAAGATTTTCGCTCTGCAGGACAGGGATTATTTCCAATACTCTGCATGCTCAAAACTTCCTTTCAGACAAAAAGGTTCTGCGATGGATGCTCTCTTTTTTACAGTCTTTAATATTTCTTGGGTACAGAAGAAGTCTAGCAGAATGTTTAAAATCCTAGCTACTTGCCCCTGTGTGGCACTCCCAGCACCAATGAAGTTGAGCCACTTGATAGGGTGTGATTGTAGATGGCAGGCTGAGCGAGGTCCACATCTGCTTCTTGAGGAGGGAGATTTGGGCCCTCCAGCAGCACCTTGAATAAAGGAGGAAAAGCATGGATAGTAACTACTGGCAGGATGGAGCCTTTCCTAGCAGGAAAGAAACTAATGTGCTCTGGTCAAAGGGGTGAGGGAAGGAGGCGGGCAGAAAGGTGAGTCCAGCTCTGTTGTGACAATGGGGATGGCTGAAAGATGGCCTCTGGGCCAGGTGGGTTGTAGGTTCTGTTGACGATGGGTTCTGTAAGCTTCTCCAGAAGCAAACCTAATATGTTAAGGAGAAGCAGATAACCCTTTCCCCTCTAGGAATGTGCAATGTTGCAGCAGCAAGTAGCTTTTGCTGCTACTTGTACTACTGCTGCAGGAGGAGCCTTCCCTCATGTCTCAGTGATGTGGCATTGCTCCCTCGGAAGGAGGCGGTAGCAGGATAGATGGTGAAATGGAAAATACCATCTCCTTTCAACAGGGAGAAGTGGTTATTATTTCTCAAGCTGCCTGATCTTGGTTATAATCTGCATTCCTTGCACCTCAATTGGCCTATCAGCCCTGGTAAATAGAGGTAGGATCGCCACCTGAGAAGGGACCCCCAGGGCAGACACAAGGGTTTGGAGAACTCCATTTTATCTCATTGCACTTGCTCCCTGGCCTTTAAAAAAGTTCATTAGATGTTATTTAACCTGCCCAATATCATTCCAAAGTGGTCATCATTTCAGTCTGTGCCAAAAAGGGCCCCTTATACTCACGGTGTATTATGAGTTTGGCTATAGCCTCCTTATGTGGGAGATGAGCTGTGGCATTGGGCCTGCTGAGACCAATATTAACTGTTAATCTTTGTGGTGACAGACAAGATCCCATCTCTGCCAAATGTGACCCCACTCTTCATTACCATCGACCCAGAGAGGGACACTGGAGAAGCCGTTGCCAGATACGTTAAAGGTACCATTTGCCTTTCTCTTCCTTGCACTGTGTAGCTGTTCTGTACTCGTTGCTTTCTTTTGTGATTAAAATGATGGCTGGGCTCTACCAAAGCTGGTTCTGGGTGGCAGGAACCTTAGCATGGCTAATGTGTTGCATTTCTGTTTAGAGTTTTCTCCCAAACTGATTGGACTGACTGGTACCAAAGAGCAGATTGAGCAGGTGTCCAGAGCCTATCGTGTGTATTACAGCTCCGGCCCCAAGGATGAAGACAATGACTACATAGTAAGTAAAAGCAGGGCCTGTGCCCGAGTGCTCTATTATTCACAGATTCATTCACTGATTTTAAAGCCAGAAGAGATCATTCTGATAATCTAATCTAAGATCCTGCATAACAAATGCCTATTTATATTTATCACTACTACTAAATCTTTACATTAGGGGAATTAACCCCAAAGACCTAAACTGGGACCAAGGCACCATTATGCTGGATATGGTACAAACACAGATAATGGGTATGTATACACAGCAAAGAAAAACCCACGGCTGGCCCATGCCAGCCAACTCAGGCTTGCAGGGCTTGGGCTGCAGGGCTATTTCATTGCTGTGTAGATTAGGACCCTGCAGGGTGGGTGGGTCTCAGAGAGCCCAAGCCTGGAAGTCTGCACAGCAGTGAAACAGCCCTGCAGCCTAAGTCCCATGAATCTGAGTCAGCTGGCACGGGCCAGCTGTGTTTTTTTCTTTGCTGTGTAGACTTACCCAAAGAGGCATTTTCTGCTCCAGTGAGCTCATGTTCTAAAGGAGGCACACAAACGGTGGGCATGGGGAATAACATACAACTCATGGTTATGAATTTACATGAATTTTATTCCAAGTTGTATTGTTTTGGTCTCGCTTTTAAGTGGAAGTGGAGGTAGGGTGAGGGGGAATGGCAGGAATTGGGAATTAAAGGAGTAGGAAGAGGGATGGTCAGCTCATCACTGCCTAGCTATGATCAACTGGCAGGGTTTTGTAGATGGAGGTGGGATTTGAAGGAAGATAAATCAGTGTCTACAGTCAATAGGAGACTTTCTCCCATGCTGCAATTTACACATGCAGAAAATGTGGAGCTGTTTAAGGATCGGTGCACAGTAAAGCCTGGGATCGTTGGCATTGTGAAGGGGAGGATTAACACCACAAGTGACTAAATTAGGTAGGTGGGGCAGGGTAGTACTGTGAAAGATCTTAGAGGTGAAGACAAAATTCTTGTGTTTGTGGAAGTATGGGGAACCAATGTTGGACTCAGCAAGGGGTGAGGTAGTTCAAGTGATGAGCCAGGAAGAAGAGTTTTGCAACAGTGTTTTGAATGGATTTGAGGCATGTGAGATTACAGTAGTCAAGACCAGAGAAGAGGAGATTATAGTAGTCAAGATACTAAATAAGGGCTTGGATGAGTTTCATCAATATTGGCAAAGGGAGAAGGGTGGATCTAAGGGATGTATGGGAAGAATAAGCAAGCTTTAGAGATGGCCTGAATACAGAGAAGTCAAAGACGACACCCAGGTTATAGGCCTGAGTAACTTGGAGGAAGGTGGTGTTGTCCTCAGTTGTACTGAGATATGGGATTGAAAGGAGGCGGAGAGCTTCCCCACCGAGAGGTAGATGATTTAAGGTTGTGCTTGCAGATAAGAGCATGTAGAGCAGAGGTGGGCAAACTACTGCCCGCAGACCACATCTGGCCTGTGGGACTGTCCTGCCCGGCCCTTGAGCCTCTGGCTGGGGAGGCTAGCCCCCGGCCCCTCCCCCGCAGCCTCAGCTCACCGTGCCGCCAGCGCTGTGGGGGATGGGGCTGCGAGCTGGTGCGGGGCAGTGCAGCTGTGAGAGCTGCCGGGTGTAGTGCATTAAATTGCTCCCCATAGGAATGTGCTACTTATGGAGCACCAGGACTGGCAGCCGTAAGTAGTATACCATAAGTAGCATATTCCTATGGGGAGCAATTTAATACACTACACCCCGGCCCTCCATACAGTTTAAATTCTAAATAAATTAATGGAGATATCTTATCTCCTAGAACTGGAAGGGACCTTGAAAGGTCCAGCCCCCTGCCTTCACTAGCAGGATCAAGTACTGATTTTGCCCCAGATCCCTAAGTGGCCCCCTCAAGGATTGAACTCACAACCCTGGGTTTAGCAGGCCAATACTCAAACCACTGAACTATCCCTCCTGCCCAGTTTCAGACCTTGATGTCGCCCCCAGGCCGAAAAGTTTGCTCACCCCTGATGAAGAGGCAGTGAGAGAAGAGTGGGCCAAGTACAATGACTGGGGGTGAGGGGATGCACTGAATGAGATACTGAAGGAGTGATCAGAGAAGTAGGAGGGAAACCATGAGAAGATGGTGCGAGTGCAGAGCTGGATTTCAAGAAATAGGAAGTGTTGTCAGTAGCCAAGAGGAGGAGGGAGTAGTAGCCGCGAGACCTGACCAGGATGAAGTCACTAGGGGTATGTCTACACAGCAATGCAAGGCTATGCAGGGGTTCTCAAACCTCATTGCACCGCAACCCCCTTCTGACAACAAAAGCTACTACATGACCCCGGGATGGCTTTGGTCCTGGGCCCCAGCAAATCTGACACCAACCCTAGTGACCCCATTAAAACAGGGTTGCAGCCCACTTTGGGTGCCTGATGCATAATTTAAGAACCACTGGGTTAGTGGGACTTGAGTCAGCTGAACTGTGTCAGGGAACCCTGGGCTTGAGCATCTACACTGCATTTTAACCCTAGGTTAAGGATTTTCCAGCCTGTGTTCAAACCTAGGGCTCTGGAATCCACACTGCAGTGCACAGACCTGAGTCAAAGTAACCCTAACCCAGAGTGCTTAGCATCTGCCCCCTCCTACCCCCCCCCCCGGTCGGCACTTGAGCATGTGTTGCACAGTGGGAAAACATTAGTGCCCACCCTTTTTCCTAACTGACGGTGCTGTTGATGGGACTTGGGTCAATAAGGAGTACATAAACTGCATAATTAGTTCCTTTGGTGGCTGTGTCAGTAGAAAGCTTTATACTGAACTCTACCATCTAATTTGAGAATTGGGCTCTCTCCCTCTACGCTGAGTCACATTGGCAGGAAAATGCCCATGTGCACCTGTTCTGAGGATAATTAGGACATCAGTCTCCAGGGCTGCCAAACTATTAAAATGAAACTTTGCAACTTTTAATTTTTAAAATGGGCTGTTCAATGAAAGTGTTTTTGGTTAGTTGGCTATGAAGGGTATCCCCAGGACTTGGGGTGTACTGTGCTCCAGCACTCCCCAGGAATCGCTTATCCCTGCCCCAGCCGTACCCCCGGGAGGCAGGGATAAGGGATCCCTGGGAGGCTGTGGGGAAGTTTTGGGGTTGGCTCCCACTCACCACCTTACAGTGCACACTGGCTAGGCTTCTCTGAACACGCAGCCCACGTGAGGGCAGGAGGGCCCGGGAGCAAGAGACAGAGAGCAGAGCGGGACCAAGCGGCTGCCCTGCAGGGAGCAGGAGCAGTTGAGGTGTTAGAGGTCATCCCTTCTATCACCATGCTGAGCCAGGAGCCCTGCTGCTCCCCCTCCCTGCACGGCAGCTGCTTAGTCCCCTTTCTGCTCTCTGCCCCTCCCTGCCCTGGGGCTGCATGTGCAGGGGTGCCCGGGCAGTGTGCACCAAAATCTGGCTCTGCTCTTGTCACCAGGAAGCAGCTCTCTTTGCAAAAAGCTTGTTTTGATCAGTTTCCATTGAAAACTCTGCAAGATCTCTGGTAGTGTGTGTGCAGACTGGTGGTGGTCAGCAGACAATGGGTTAACACTGATCTGAGCTGCTGGGTGCAAGCTGTTTGCAAAAGGAGATGTGGCTTCTGTTTGCAATAGAGTGCAATAGACAGCACCACAGATTGTGGGCATAGAGAGGACTAAGGAAGTTGCCCCAAGGAACTCTGGGATACATCTGGAAGACTTCTGGGGCTGTGTGCACACAGAAAAGCAATAAGGCTCGGACCCTAGATCCCAGCTTAACACTGGCTTGGACCCTGCAGTTCTGCAAAGTCCTGGGACCTCAGGTTTGAGCCCTGGGTTAACACAATTGGTGTGTGGACGCAAGGGGCATTAGGCTTGAGCTTAGGCTAAAGCCTAGGCTTACATTCTGTGTGGACATATGCTAGATACCTGGGCGAGAGCAATTTTAAAGAGCTCTTCTTCAGGTCTGTAAGGTAGCAGAGGGATGTCTGCACTGCAGTGTAAGCCCAGGGTTAGTAGAAATTGAGTCAGCTGACCTGTGTTAGGAAACCCTGGACTTGAGCATCTACATTTTTTTTAACCCTACCTGAAGATTGTTTTCTAACCCATGCTCGAACCTATGGCTCTGGAGTCCACACTGCAGCGTGCAGACCCAAGTCAAAGTAACCATATACGAGTCCCTAGAAGCACCATTCTCTCCCCACGACCCTGCTCAAATGTGGCTGCTCTAGCCCCAGGACTGGGAAAACTTTACTGCCTGCCTTGCAAGTTACAGGTAGTTTGAAGCAGCTTGTTTTGCAAAAAGCTTGATCAGTTTGCTCTCCATTGCAAACCCAGGAAGCTCTCATGATAGTGTGCTTGCAGATCGGTGATCGGAAGAAAATGGGTTGATGCTCCCCTGAGCTGCTGCCCTTTGCAAAGGGTCAGTGGCTTCCGTTTTCAATAGAGTGGATTGCAGATTGTTGGGATAGAGAGGGCTAAGGAAGTTGTCCCATGGAATTGTCATGAATTTAAGTTCCCAGGCTCATCTTTTGAAGGTACTGAAAGATCCAATATGGAGTAATCACTTTGTGAAAAGTGTCTGCCCATGGGTGATGTGGTGGTTTTGTCTTATAGCTTTTTTTTGTGTAAGTTCATTCTAGAGTGTAATGATTGGCTGGTTTCACCCACACTTCAAACCCTTCATGCATAACAGCCTAACCCCCAATTATCCACTTCATTTCAAGTTACGTGGCCTCCTGCTTAACAATCTGTCCCAACTTGTGTGTAGCTCAGATACTCTTCTTCCTTCCCCAGACTCAAAGAGCTCAGTGAAGCTCAGAAGCTTGCAACTTCCACCAACAGAAGTTGGTCCAATAAAAGATACTGCATCACACACCTTCTGTCTCTAATATCCTGCAATTAACATGGCTCCAACACTGCGTACACTTTTCATTGTTAACACTGAAGCAGTTTTGTTTTGAAGTTTCAAAGATTTTATGCAGCTATGAGAAGTTTTTAATAAAAATACAATTTGTCTGTGATGCTGCTAACACTTATGTGCACGTCTAACTTCAAGCACATGAGTAGCCCCACTGAAGTCAGTGGAGTTGTTCATGTAAATCAAATTAGGTACCCTCGTAAGTGTTTGCAGGATCACGGCCTTAGTTTTCAATTCTACTTTTGCCCATAGCAATCTTGTAAAGCTCAGAGAAGAGACCCTACCAGGAGAGTGCTATTTAAACATTTATAACTGAGTTAATTATACATTTAAGTTTTAAATTGCAATAGCACATATTTTAAAAAGACTTTTTTTGTAAAATCTCAGTCTGATTTACATGAGTGAACTTTAAAAAACAACAACAAAAAAAAACATTTTATATTGCCTTGATTTAAACCTTTCCACCCTGCTTGAAAGGCAGCTGAAGCTTCTTTGAATGCTAGCACAGTGTAGCCAGCAGAGGGAGCCCCATAGCTGGGTACTTATGCCTTTCCCAGTACACACAAGGCCTTCTCTCCATAGCTCACTTTTCTCAGTAATGTTAGTGAGAGCAATATCTGCTCTGAGAGTGAATTTGGTTTATTGCAGCGTCCCCACACCATATCCCTTTCTTTTACATCAGGCGAAGGTCTGGATCCGAGTGCCTGTCTCACTGCAGGAGCCGGGGTTGTAGGACAGCAAGGAGTGAGAGGGTCTCGCAAACATTGAGCTCTGAGATGTTAGGCCGGCAGGAGCAGGAAGAACTTCTCTTAATCCGGGCATCAGAAGAGCTGGGAGGAGGGAAAAGTTAGGGGGAAAACAGGTCAAGCCTCATTTTCTCATTCCATCTTGTCCTCTGTACTTACCCTGCTTGAAGACTGGAACGGGGGAAGCTGCCTACAGCTCCTGCAAGGCTCTCCTACTTGCAGTGCTTCTTCACCCTATCTGTTTACAGCTTGTTCTCGAATTTCCTCCTGCTTGGCCCATTTCTAGTCTGTAACTAGAGTCTGTTCTTCTTGGTAAATCTCCAGTCAGAGATAATCGGATTGAAAGGCTAATCAGGGCACTAACCCTTACTGCCCTCTGAGTGACGCTCAGGACCTGCAGCACAAATTTGCTCTCTGCTGTCTTACAGGTGGATCACACAATTATCATGTACCTCATTGGGCCAGATGGAGGCTTTGTGGACTACTATGGCCAGAACAAGAAGAATTCTGAGATTGCCACTTCTATTGCTGCACACATGAGACAGTATAAGCCCAGCTAAAATACAAGATCTGCAAAGAACGGTGCAAAGTCAAACTGTAAGGCAGGCTCCAATAGGACTGACATGTCTTTGCTTTCAACTGCACTGAACTTATAAGACTGTGTCCTTATTTCACATATTTCCTCTCCATATAAGAAAGGTACATTGTGTTTATTTCTGTGAAATGTAGCTGCTTATCAGAAATTTGTACATAACCTTTCCCATTGGGTGTATTTGGCAGCAATAACCATACTGCAGAATAAGGAACTCGTTTGAGACGCTTATGGAACATGGGAGCAAAGAATTTAAAATTTTTACAAAACTATTTTTGTTGGTGAAGGTACCTCTACATCAGTTATGCGCTCACTTTTGGGAAGAGATAAGTGAGAACTACTCTCTGCAGGAAAGGCTGTTCTCTGATGTGAGTTGCGGAGACTTTGGCATCCCAAAGGGCTCTCTCTCCCCCCCACCCCTTTCCTGCAGTGCCTTTCGCTCTTGTACAGACACGTGTAATGTTCTGTCTACAGTAATGAGCCTTAATAGCACTCCTACCCTGTGGCTTACTGGAGAGCACTCAAGGCACATCCTCTTCCACTTGTGGGATGAGCCCTGTACAATGACTGAGTATCTTTGGGCTCAAGCCCAGGGATGCAGCATCACTTCCAGGCAAGGTTTCCAATGTCCTAATGTAGAATGGTGTTACTCTTACTAGTAATGAAATAGGTTATGAGTTGGGGATGGACTTTCTTCTGGTGTAACCAGCCGCCTGCAGCTTTTTAGTCTGACAGTTATGAAGCACTGAATAATGGAGTGGAGGAATGATCAGCGATTGGTATATGTGCCCAAGGCTATTGATCAGGTAAAATGTGTGCAATGCTCTGATTGTAAAATAAAGGAATGACTCTTATGTTGCATGCAGTTGATTTTTGTGGACCTCACAGCGGCTATCAAATCTGAATACCACCTTCAAAGGGAGCAGTGTGAGTGTTGCATATATCCAGTGCAGCACACTGAGCACAGAGAATGCAACGACTTCTCACCGTGCTTTGACAGTTGCCTTGAATAGGCTAAAATCCATATTTAAATGGGAATGTGAACAGTCCTGGTCAGAAGTGCACAGTGTAGCCTTATGGGTAGTAGAGTGGCAATGTGTTCCTTGTCACTGGCACATTCACAGCAGAGAGGCTTCTCAGCGTGGCAGTCTAAAGCTGTCTTGTACAGTTACTGTGTTTTAAAGAACCTGAGAACTATTTGCCAAGCCTTATCAAGATTTGTGTATGATCCAGCCAACTGCTCTGAGGAGAGCTTCAATCCTTAGCAAAATAACACAAACTAAAACTTTATCAATGACAATTAAAGATTCTTCAGGCCTTAAATCAGAAGTTAAGGGAAGCGGCAAAGAGTCCTGTGGCACCTTATAAACTAACAGACATATTGAAGCATGAGCTTTCGTGGGTGAATACCGACTTCGTCAGCTGCATCCCACGAAAGCTCATGCTCCAATACGTCTGTTAGTCTATAAGGTGCCACAGGACTCTTCGCTGCTTTTACAGATCCAGACTAACACGGCAACCCCTCTGAAGTTAAGGGAAGAGTCTCCTGTATTCCTTGCTACTTTGACATCCCCTACAATGTTGTCAATAACACTCTTCAGCACTCCACAGGGCCTTAATGGTGGCCTCATACAGTCCTTGCATGATGACAGGTTTCAGAGGGGTAGCCATGTTAGTCTGTATCAGAAAAAACAATGAGGAATCCTTGTGGTACCTTAGAGACTAACAAATTTATTTGGACATAAGCTTTTGTGGGCTATAACCCACTTCCTCAGATGCATGGAGTGGAAAATACAGGAGGCAGGTATAAATACACAGCACATGAAAAGATGGGAGTTACCTTACCAAGTGTGTGTGTGGGGGGTCAGTGCTAACGAGGCCAATTCAATTAGGGTAGATGTGGCCTATTTCCAACAGTAGACAAGAAGGGGTGAATATCAATAGAGGGGAAATTACTTTTTGTAGTGACCCAGCCACTCCCAGTCTTTATTCAGGCCTAATTTGATGGTGTTAAGTTTGCACATTAATTCCAGTTCTGCAGTTTCTCGTTGAAGGCTGTTTTTTAAGGGTTTTTTTTTTGTTCAACAAATCTTTTTTTAATCTTCAACAAAAAAACTTTACCAAGCCTAACTTCAATACCTGGAAAGATACTGCAAGAAATTATTAATTTGTAATTATTTAGCTGATGATAGGATTATGAGGAATGACCAACATGGATTTGTCAAGTACAAATCATGCCAAACCAACCTGATTTTCTTTTTTGATAGGGTTACTGACCTAGTGGAAAAGGGAGAAGCAGTAGACATGATGTATCTTGATTCTAGTAACATATGACACAGTTCCACATGACATTCTCATAAACTAGAGAAGTGCAGTCTAGATGAAATTACTATACAGTGGGTGTGCAACTGGTTGAAAGGCTGTACTTAAAGAGTAGCTAGCAATGGTTTCTGTCAGAGTGGGAGGACGTATCTAGTGAGGTCTAACGGGTCAGTCTTGGGTCCAGTACTAGTCAATATTTTCATTAATAACTTGGATAATAGAGTGGAGAATGTGCTTATAAAATATGTGGATGACAGCAAGGGGTTGCAGGCACTTTAGAATGAAAAATCACCTTGACACACTGGAGAATTGGTTTAGAATCAACAAGATTAAATTCAATAAAGACAAGTACAAAGTATTATGTTTAGAAAGGAAAAATCAGATGCACAAATATCACATGGGAAATAACTGACTAGCTGGTAGTACTTCTGAAAAGGATCTGGTGATTATAGTGGATCACAAATTGAATATGAGCCAACTGTGATGCAGTTGCAAAAAAAATAAAAAGCTAATATTCTGGGGAGTATTAACGGAAGTGTTGTATGTAAGACATGGGAGGTAATTGTCTCACTCTACTTGGCACTGCTGAGGCCTCAGCTGGAGTACTGTGTCCAGTTCTGGGCACCACGCTTTAGGAAGGATGTGGACCAATTGGTGAGAGTCTAGAGGACAGCAACAAAAATTATTAAAGATTTAGAAAAACTGACCTATGAAGAAAGGTTAAAAAAAACTTGGTATGTTTAGTGTTGTGAAAAGAAGACTGAAGGGAGACCTGATAACAGCACTATACTTGAAGGCTGCTCTAATGAGGACAGCGATCAATTGTTCTCCATGTCCACTGAAGGTAGGACAAGAAGTAATGGGCTTAATCTTTGGCAAGGGAGATTTAGGTTAGATATTAGGAAAAACTTTCTAACTATATGGGTAGTTAAGCCCTGCAATAGGCTTCCTAGGGAGGTTGTGGAATTCCCATCTCTCATAAATATAAAGGGAAGAGTAACAACCTTTATGTATGCAGTAACATAAAATCCCTCCTGGCCAGATGTACTGAATCTTTACCTGTAAGGGTTAATCAGTTCAATTAATCTAGTTGGCCCTTGACCAGAAGGACCAATGGGGAAAGAAGATACTTTCAAATCTGGGGGGGGGGGAGGTTTTGTTTGTGCTCTCTTTTTGTTCCCTCTCAGGTCAGAGAGAGAGATCAAGCAGGTAAACCAGCTCCTAAAAAGATAGCTGAAATGATGCATCTAAAATTACAAAAATTGTAAGCAAAGGCAAGGAAATGCATTAGATTATCTTTTGTTTTAGCTTGTGAATTTTCCCTATGCTAAGAGGTAGTTTTATTCCTGTTTATTGTAACTGTGAAGTTGAGTCCAGAGGGGACTCCTCTGTGTTTTAAATCTTGTATTACCCTGTAAAGTTGCCTTCCATCCTGATTTTGCAGGTGTGATTCTTTTACTTTTTTCTTTATAATAAAGTTCTTTTAAAAACCTGATTGATTTTTAGTGTCCTAAAAACCAAAGGGTTTGGTCTGTGCTCACTTTGTTAACCTACTGGTTAGTATATTATTCTCAAGCTTCCCCAGGAAAGGGGGTGAAGCGGCTTGCACGGATATTTTGGGGAAATAGGGACTCCAAGTGGTCTTTTTCCTGAATCTTTGTCTAAATCACTTGGTGGTGGCAGCAATACCATCCAAGGACAAGGAAAGAATTTGCGCCTTGGGGAAGTTTTTAACCTGAGCTGGTACTTATAAGCTTAGGGGGTCTTTCATGCGGGTCCCCACATCTGTATCCCAGAGTTTAGCATGGGGAGGAAACCCTAACATCATAATTGGAGGTTTTTAAGAACAGGTTTTATAGACACCTCTCTGGGATGGTCTAGAGGTATACTTGGTCCTGCCTGAACATAGGGGACTAGACTTGATTTCTTGAGGTCTCTTCCAGCCCTACCTTTCTATGATTTTACGTACAATCAGGAGCAGTCTTGTACTGGTCCTAGGACGAAGAGTAGATGGCCAATTTTCTGATTCACGAAGAAGTGCTGTGTCTAATATGTATTTTTTTCATCTTTCAAAAAACCTGAATAACTGGATGAAAACTAAGCTTAGAAAATAGACATGCCATTACAAAGCTTTGGGAAATGGCAGTGCATCTTAGGCCCCTCTTTCCTGCAGAGGGTTTGGGGAAGTGAAACAGTTACTTTGTTTAGAACAAGTTGCATGTCAGAAAGGAGTATTAGTTGGAATGTGCTTCAACAGATCTTTGTCAAGGGGTGCATTCTAATGTAAGAAGATTCTTGTGGAACTAAGATATCTTTCCTACCTCTGAAATGCTGGATAGATTAAAGAAGTTTTTTTCTGTTTTAAGTTCTCACCAAGAATTTCCTTGGATCAGTTTGCACTGTGTGTTTGTGTCTTGGTAGAATTTAACCTTCATTCTCAGTTGTTGAGGGTTATTCCTTATGGTGGCAGTCCAGTAGTGGCTGTCATGTGTAATGTTCCAGGAGAAGTGATTTCCAAAGGAAGTCTCCTGTTTAAATCTTGTATCTGTCATAGGATCTGTTTGTAGACACTGACTGTCAAATCCAGACTATTATTCATAATTCAAACTGGGCAGGAAACAGTTTTTCTATTTAATGGAAATTTGAGATTTCAAAAATTTTTCCATTCTGCTTTGGGATGAATTCAAGACCTTCTAAATGTTTTTATTTAAAGGGGTGGGAGAAAGAAAGAACAACTCCAGACTAGCCTTATTTGTCAGAGCAGGAACTTGAACTTGCTTCTCCTGTATCCCAGGTGAGCACCCTGACTACATAGAATCATAGAATCATAGAATATCAGAGTTGGAAGGGACCTCAAGAGGTCATCTAGTCCAACCCCCTGCTCAAAGCAGGACCAATTCCCAGCTTTGAGCAGGGGGTTGGACTAGATGACCTCTTGAGGTCCCTTCCAACTCTGATATTCTATGATTCTATGATTCTATGTAGTCAGGGTGCTCACCTGGGATACAGGAGAAGCAAGTTCAAGTTCCTGCTCTGACAAATAAGGCTGCTCTGACTACTGGCTATTCTGCCTCTCTCTCTCTCTCTCCTGGTGAAGCTGTTCCACTTTGTATACATTATTCACTGGCCCAGAGCAAGACTGACCCTATTGCCCAGTGGTTAGGACAGAGCAGGGACTTGAAGCTGGCTATCCTACTGCCTAGATATCCTATCCATCTGGCTATTCTGGGATCTCTTTTGCTGGACCTGAGAACCTCAATGAAAGTTTCATTGAAACCCATTCGTCCCCCCCTCCCCCAAAAGTCGAAATATTCCTTACTAGCTCTGTTGAGAATCTTGTCGTTATGTTGAGGACTCTCCATTCCCTGCTGCCTGTAACCATAACACGAAAACAGACTAGATATCATTTTAAAGGATGCCACACAGCTTCCTTAAAGGTGCAAGTGCCACTATGATGTTTCTCAAAGCCCTTATCCCCCATTTAATGTTTTTTTGCCCACAAGCCCTGAGGTTGTAAATAATTATGAGAAAG